TGAGCGGCACCAATCAACAATTTTCAACGTAGGGCGTGTCTTGAACTTAGAATGGACGTACCTCGATAACCACCCTGCGCGAAGGTGACATGACTCTTGCCATCACGAAGGAATCGAGCAATCACCATATTCATAAACTGGTCCTGAAGCGACAAATATCTTGAAAGATATAAATAAATGAAGCAGTAGCGTCCGAAAGGCTCATCTGTTCAACTAACCTCGTCCTCATCGCCATAACCAAAGAAGCAAATATGCTCCTCAAACTTCTGCTCGTTTTTGTACGATTCAAGACAAGTCAAAGCCATCTCGAACTGACTCGGCGCATCCACCAACTATAACAGAGCCATCTAGACAACGTTTCATGATAATTTACAAATCACAAACTACTGGTATTCCTGAGAAAACAGGTCATTTCTAGAAGAGAGAAGAAGTCGCTAAATGGACTTATTCACGTAGAACACGGTAATAAAATCGCAATCGGTGACGGCGCTATCAGAAGGGATAGAATTGAGCCCACCCGCGGAGTTTCCGCCAATGGTTGTTCCCTTTCTCAAAACGATCACTAACTGATCACCATTGGTACAGGAGGGCTATAGGCGGTGAGCCCTTTTCGCCCCTTTGACACCATGCTCGCCTGATTGGCGACGCTATCAACTGCACCACCGGGTATAGTTCAGGGCGTCCGAATCCCGGCAGCACAGGCAAACTAGCAGATTATTCCCTAGTTAGTTGACTGAACACACGGCAGGGCTGCGGCGTCAAGTTGATTAATGTTGGCGAGGAAATGGGCTTACTTGTTTTCATTTATTATTTACAAAGACTCATTAACCGCCTTCGTGCACCTTCTAGCCTTTATGAGTTTGCAACGATTTTATTAGGACTACCTTTCTACGCCATTGCGCTCGCCAGAGCCTGAAACAAACAACAAACTCGTGAGACACCCAACTCACATTCACATTCCGACTTCATAATTCAAAAGAATGGTCCACGATGAAATGTGGCCCTGCTCTGA